AAAAATGGAGCGTGAGATCGATAGGCGGATAGGTGCAACGTCGGCAGTGAAGAGGGCGCTGTACTGGTCTGTCGTAATGAAGAGAGAGCTAAATCAAAAGGCGAAGCTCTCAATTTACTGGTTGATCTACATTCCTACCCTCATCTGTGGTCACGAGCTTTGGGTTGTGACCGAAAGAACGAAATCACGGATACAGGCGGCCGAAATGAGTTTTCTCCGCAGAGTGTCTGGACTCTCCCTTAGCGATAGGGTGAGAAGCTCAGTCATACAGGAGGGACTCAGAGAGAGTAGAGCTGCTGCTTCCGCACATTGAGAGGAGCCAGTTGATGTGGCTTGGTCATCTGGTTAGGATGCCTCCTGGACGCCTCCCTGGTGAGGTGTTCCAGACACGTCCCACCTGGAAGAGACCCAGAGGAAGACCCAGGACACGCTGGAGGGACTATGTTTCTCGGCTGACCTGGGAACGCCTTGGGATTCCCCTGGAGGAGCTGGACCAAGTGGCTGGGGAGAAGGAAGTCTGGGCCTCCCTACTTAGGCTGCTACCCCCGTGACCCGACCCCAGATAAGCTGAAGAGAATGGATGGAGTTAATAATAAAATTTTAAACTAACCTCTTACAGGTCCTAGAGAGACTCCTGTTGGCCCAACTGCCTAAACAAGCACATATCAGGACCCACTGCAGTTTGATTATCAGCTTGAACTTGGAGTTGAAGATGCCATCATACACCTGCTTCAACAAACTCACTGTCATGTAGAAAAGGCAGACAGCACTTTGAGAGTCATGTTCTTTGATTTCTCTAGTGCATTTAACACAATCCAGCCTGATTTGTTTTGTCAGAAACTTCAGAAGACTCAGGTGGAGGCCTCAACAATCACCTGGATCAAAGACTACCTGACAAACAGACCACAGTTTGTGAGACTGAAGGGTTGTGTGTCTAACCAGGTGGTCAGTAGCTCAGGAGCACCACAGGGAACTGTACTCTCACCATTCCTTTTCACTCTGTATCTCAGATTTCCAGTACAAAACAGACTCCTGTCATCTGCAGAAATATTCTGATGACTCTGCAGTAGTTGGGTGTATCAGAGATAGACAAGAAGCTGAGTACAGGGAACTGGTGGACCGCTTTGTGGCATGGTGTGGAAACATTCATCTCATCTTGAATGTGAACAAAACAAAGGAGATGATTGTAGATTTCAGGAGAAACAGGAACAGGTCCATCCCAATTTCCATCATGAGAGAAGAAGTGGAGGTGGTGGAGAAGTATAAATACCTTGGGGTTCACCTGGACAACAGACTGGACTGGAAATGCAACAGTGAAGCGTCTACAAGAAGGGACAGAGCAGACTGTACTTCTTGAGGAAGCTGAAGTCCTTCAACGTTTGCAGCAAGATGCTGCATATCTTCTATAAGTCTGTGGTAGAGAGCGCCATCTCTTCTGCCATCATCTGCTGGGGGAGCAGCACCAGAGCAAGTGACTTAAAAAAGATCAACAAGCTCATAAAGAAGGCTGGCTCAGTTCTGGGGACTCCTCTAGAACCTTTGGAGATGATTGTTCAAAGAAGGATTCTTCATAAAATGAAGAACATTATAGACAACCCTCAGCATCCTCTTCATCAGACTGTCATAGAACAACAGAGTGTCTTCAGTCAGAGGCTTCTTCAAATCCGTTGTAGGACAGACTGCTACAAGAGATCCTTCATGCCCACAGCCATCAGCATCTAGAACAACTCATTAATGAAACCAGGATGATGAGTTACAACAACATTTAATTTCCCTCTGGGATTATTTAAAGTATTTTTGAATTGAATTGAATATGTGTTGAGGATTCGTCTCAGGTATTACCACACCAAATTTTCAATATCTGTTAAACTGAGTTATAGCCGCTTTTGTGTTTTCAATGTTTGTTGGCTGCAATGGCCATCTTGAATCAGGTTGACTCCAAAAGTTAATCAGTTGTCCGTGTACATCCAATGATTGCAAAATTGATTCAAATTTGTCTAGTGGTTCATGGTATGTTTTGGTAACAGACAGACACACGAACAAATGTACACCAACACTAGAAAACAATATTGTACACTTTTGTATATAATTGAGGGGTAATAATGTCATGCCATCAGACGAAACAACAGTCATCTACAGAGTCAGATTCACAGTTTTTGGAAAATGTGCTAATGTGTCCCAGTAACACAGTTAGACTGGTGGATAATGTTCTGTTAGAACACTGACCTGGCAGATGTGAACACATTTCACATTCATGACCTGTTACTTAACTCATTGTGTGTGTGTGTGTGTGTGTGTGTGTTACTTACCAGGGGTGTAATCAGTGGTGCCATAACCTCTCAATACCTGTTGGAGAAGTCCCGCATTGTCTTTCAGGTGAAAACCACAAACCACACAAATGAGCACACACAGTAGGTCAGCTAGAGTCTCCTTACATCTGACTCATAGTGAGAAAGAAGACACTCTAGACGCACCATTCGTTAGACATGTCCTGATCTAATTCTGCCTGCTTGGCCGGTTCAGCTGCTTTCCATTCAGTGCTTCATTCACTTATCAAAATTGTTTAATTTATTTGATTCGCCAGCAGCTTTGAATCTGTTTCAGCAAATACACAACCACTGCTCTAAATTGCTCAAGATGTGTTGTTATGTTTACCTGCATGTCAGTAAGTGTCCGTATGAGTGACTTGTTCATGTGTTTGTGTCTTCATGGGATTTCATCCTCAGGCCAAATCAGAGCGAAACTACCATATCTTCTATGAGATGTTGGCAGGTCTTCCACTTAATGAGAAGCGCTTGCTGTATCTGCAGGAGGCTGAGACCTACTACTATCTAAATCAGGTGCAGTCACACAACATGGCACTCAGGAAGATTTAGATTTAGAGGTTCCCTCCAAACAAGAGAACACACTCTGGTTTCAGTGAGCTTGTGTGTTTTTATGTTTTTCACATATGAAATTATCAAAAAAGCTTCAAATAAGATCCAAGCGTCCTTTTTCTTATCAAGAAATAATGAGTCTGTGAACCTGAAGGGACTACTTTTTATTTCCACACAGTCTGCTGCCTCTTCTAGAAACTATTCTGTGCAGGCTTCAAGTTGCCACATAACACTTTCCAGAGTCTAGAGCAAGATGAGAACTAGCTTCTAAATTAGCTTACAGTCACACAACTTAGTTGACTTTATGTCCTGATGCATGCTCAGTAATCTAGGTAGATAAATCTAAAAAGGTTGAGTCAGGTCCTCTAGACCTGGGCTATTCAACTGGCGGCCCACGGGCCGTGATTTCTATCCATCCCACTTTGTAATTTTATTTTTTTTGGGGGGGGGGGTCTGGATTTGGGTTTTCGGTTCTGGTTATTGCTTTTATGATTCCATGCAATAAAATAAAAATGTTTAAACGGTAACAGATCATTTTCAACTGTGGTTTATTTATATAATGATTTTAATCACTGGATGCCCGGCCCCCGAGCT